CAGAAAAATAACTTCAGTGAGTCTGAGCAGGGCGATTTCTTCAAAAACTCCACATTCAGAGTTTAGGTCATAGAATTAATCAAAATAAAAAGGAAGCGTCGTGTTGATTTAAGGAACTCTGAGTTGTTGGAACCGTCCCCTCATCAGACGTTACGATCAGTGTAAATCCATTATTGTGGGAATGTTTATCAAGCATGCACACTATTGTCATCCTTTTTTTTTTTTCCGTAGGTTTTTCGGCGCGATTCTCGTCCCGCAGTTTTCGAGCTATTTCAACAAATCCTAAATCAAAACGTTTTAGCTCTTTCGGGACTACTCTGCTGAGTTTTGATGTGAAATGTTTAGCTTTTTCTGCCGCCTTTTTTTTTTTTTTCTCACAGAAAATGAATAGAGCTCATTTGACATCCTTCAAATCTTTAGATCTATTTACAAGCTTTTATCGCTCCTTTCACTTTTTGTTCTGCTTCAGCTTCTTTCAGCTTCCTTGTGCAAATTTAAACTTTGTTTCAGGTACTTTCAGCTAATTTTAGCTGTTTTGTGCTCCTTTCAGATTATTTCTGATAACTAGAATATTTTTGTGCTTCTAACTTCTTGCTGCTAATTTCAGCTTGTTATGATCCTTTTAGCTTATTTCTGCAAGTTTAAGTTACTTCAGCTGCAATTTAGCTGTTGTATGCTAGTTTTAGCCTTTTAAGCTAATTCCACATTTTATTGCACTCATTTAAACTTTTCAGCCTAATTCAGCAAAAATGTGCTCTCTCCACTCCCTTCTGGTAATTTAAGCTTCTGTTTGCTTTTTTAGCTACTTTTCAGTTGTTGTTGTTTTTTGTTGTTGTTAATTTAAGCTTATTTCAGATAATTTCCACATTCTTGTTCTAATTTCTGCTTTTTTCAGCAAACATTCTCACACTTTCTTCTGCTACTTTAAGCTTGTTCTACCTTTTCAGATATTTTTGTGTGCATTTTTTTAGCTAATTTCAGCTGTTTTCAGGTAAAACTAAACTTTCCTAGATCATTTTTGCTACTTTCAGCTTAATAATTTTTTTCTGCTAATTTCATCTTATTATGCTCTTTTCATCTTTTTTCTGTTAACATGTTCTGCTGTTTAAGCTACTTTTTAGCTGTTTTTGTGATAAATTTAGCAGCCTCTTCAGCTAATTCCACTTTTTTTTTTAGCTCATTCCAGCTCCTTCCACTTCTTTCTGGTAGTTTAAGCTTCTTTCTGCATTTTCAGCTACTTTTCAGCTATTTTTTTTGCTAATTTCAGCCTCTTTTTTTAGCTATTTTCCTAAATTTTGTGCTAATTTCTGCTTATTTAAACCTAATTTAGCAAATGTGTGTTCTTTTTGCTTTCTTCTGCTAACTCAGGCTTGTCCTTCCTTCTATTTCAGCTACATTTTACCATGTTTTTAGATAATCTCAGCTGTTTTTCATCAAGTCATTCAGCAATAAGCATTCACACTCCATTTTTGCAGGAAATGCAGTTTCTCTAGTTAATACATTTGTTAATATTAATGTAAATTTTGAACTGTTGAACCCCTGTTCTTCTAAATAGAGCCTCATTAACATATTTTAAAGTGATAAAAGGGTTTGTGTTTTAGGTTTAAAGACGTTTATAGTTTTACCAGCTGTATTTTTCTCTTGATGACCTCACCAGCAGAGCAGCAGCTCTTCATGAACGTTTGTGTAAAACAGGAGGCTGATTCTGGAGAAGTTGTATTTTAATAATTTCATGTTTATTTTGTCAGTTTTGCCAAAGCATTTCCCCCATTTTTCTGAAAGCATTATAACTGAAATAAGCAGACATCTCCATGTTTTTAAGTTTACAAAGCTTTTGTTTTGGCTAATTTAAAAAAAAATGTCGCCAAGCTGAGAGCACTCTGATATACAGTATGTTGTGATTATTCTGTAATTGCAACTTTTAATGTTTCCATAAATGCAAATAAAATCCTTCCATCTCTGCAAATGTGCATAAACTAGCTCAAGCATGAGGACGTTTTGCACAAAATGTTTAGTTTTAATTTGTATATTTTGAAGTGGAGATGCTTCAGTATGTGCAAACTCTAATGGAGACAGTCTGCAGCGGCCTTTAAGGAACTATTATTTAATTTAATTAAGACTCGTTTCTTCTTCTTGTCGTCATTAAAACCTTCCAATCTAATATTGTCTCCTTAAACAGTTCAGCTCCACGCGTGTGCGTGCACGTGCAGTGAATCGTTTATCCAAAAAGCAAAAAGTGGAGTGAACAGAGGAAAGTTTGCGTGAGCCTTTCACCAGATCAGTTCTGCCCCCTAGAGGTGCAGCACTTGTGTGCGTGCGCGCGCGTGCATAATTGTGTTATCGTGGGGAAGAGAGGGACATCCTGTGACAATGACTCAATGCTTTTCTCTCAACACACGCGCGCGCACACGCACCTAGACCAGTTGTTATTTACATTTTTGAAATCGCCAACAGACATTTCCACTTCTAAATAACAC